CCTAAGCGCAAACGATTTATTGAAATAAAATTAAACCATAAGTTAATCTCGAAATTAACTAGTTTGTGTCGAGTGGACGTTAAACACACACACTCTCTCTCTCTCTCTCGCTCCCCCCTCTCTCTCCAAACGTTGGTGAACACTACTGTCCCCCCCCCCCCTCTCTCTCCCTCGCTCTCTCTCACATTAAAAAAACTTGTATGTTAGGCTAAAAATAATTATTCATGTAAACAAAATGTTCATGAGACCTTATCCCCTCACCCACCCTATTCAACATGATCCTGTATAGAATACAAACAAACGTGTCAGACAGTGATTGTTTTCCAATCGATAAAGCTTATTGTGACAAGTTGTTTGGTCGTAAATCAACAATAAATGGTTGGGATGATTTATTAATGTCTGTACGTACAAACCCCGTCCTAATCTAAGTTAGCAATTATACTAAGCACATTGACACCATAAAGTTGTTAATGAGGAATAGATGTGAACAACTACGGCGCAAAATTTAAAAAAAATAATACTAAAGACCTTTGGATAATAGAATGGTGATAAGATAATGACCTTTAGATAATAGATTGGAGTAAAAAAGGCCGCAGGAAATATTTTTTCTATTAAAGTACATTTAGTTTTCTTTTAAAGTACATGTGGGTTCTTTTAAAGTATGTGATGTTTTCCTTTAAAGTACGTGTAGTTTTCTTTTAAAGAACGTGTGGTTTTCTTTTAAAGTACGTGTGGTTTTCTTTTAAAGTACATGTGGTTTTCTTTTAAAGTACATGTATATAGTTTTCTATTAAAGTACTTGTAGTTTTCTTTAAAAGTACATGTAGTTTTCTATTAAAGTACGCGTGGTTTTCTTGTAACGTATGTGATGTTTTCCTTTAAAGTACGTGTAGTTTTCTATTAAAGTACGCGTAGTTTTTCTTTTAAAGTACGTGTTGTTTTCTTTTAAAGTACACGTGGTTTTCTTTTAAAGTACTGTGATTTTCTTTTAAAGTAATTGTAGTTTTCTTTTAAAGTACATGTAGTTATCTTTTAAAGTATGCGTGGTTTTCTATTAAAGTACGCGTAGTTTTTCTATTAAAGTACGCGTGGTTTTCTATTAAAGTACGCGTAGTTTTCTATTAAAGTACGCGTAGTTTTCTATTAAAGTACATTTAGTTTTTTTTTTAAAGTACGCGTAGTTTTTTTAAAAGTACGCGTAGTTTTCTATTAAAGTACATTTAGGTTTTTTTAAAAAGTACTTGTATGTTTTTAATTCTTATTATTATATTTGCAAAAAAATAATACCATTTCTCATTTGAGGAATCCAGACAGGTAACACATTTTTTATGTACTTTTTTTGTATTGAAACACACAACGGAGAATATGATTGACCCTGTCATCAGTTTAATCGATGTCGTAGATAGTATTTAATAGATGTAATTGATTTAATCATAGAAATATATTTATATATGTCTATGGATGTAATAGATTGTCTGGTATTTAATTATGTGTTTAATGTTGGCCCAGTAACATCGTAGTGTATGGATGTAATAGATTGTTTTGTATTTAATTAAGCGTGTAATGTTGTCTCATTAACATCGTAGTGTATGGTAACATCACGCAGTATAAAATTGATGAATTGAATATTAGATTTAAAGGTTCTTTGCCTCCTGACAATAACTGTTCTGCTCCGACTGGGATAATGGGATTTAACGTCCTACTGTTCTGCTCCTACTGGACTAATGAAGACGGACATACGCCACACATTGTGCTATGAGGGAAATTTTGCCCGGACAGCGGCACTATGGTCTACTCTTATAACGAATTCCAACTGGCAGGGGATATTTTACGTGCACGTCAATGTGTACACGGAACCATGGTTTTTCGTCCCATCCGAAAGACTAGACAGCTGTCCTTGTCAGGCCCCCGTCTTGTTCCACTGACAAGGGGGAACCACGTCGGAAAATCCCGAACACCCGACCTCCAGGCTAGCGAACCAGCATCTTACCCACTTAGCCACTGTGGCTCCCTATTCGCCACTTGCGCGCAGTGGGGGGAAACTGATGAACCCAAACGAAATCCACGAACCTGCTGGATCCAAACTACGACACTTGATCCAGTGATAGACTACATATAAGCATAGGGTGTTCCCCATCCCAGCTATAAACAAGCAAATAATAACACCAACAAGTAAGTTTGTTTTAGATATTTATGTTAAAAGAAAGATACAATGAGAAGTGGAACCAGACGTTCCAGAAAGCTATTTATAGGACTGCTGGTCGGTCTCGGTGTTCCAGTGACCTTTGGCCTCACAAACATAAAAGGTTAAAGGTCAGACTGATCGATTAGATAATTAGGTTTCATTAAAATATCTAATTATCATATGTATTGGCAGCATCATGTCAATTAGATTGTAACATTGATCACTTTTCTGGCATGGAGTGGAGAAACCTATCTCTAGTGGTAAAGTAAAAATTCCAATGCGCCGTTTTTATACATACAATAAATGAATGGAATGAAATGGGATTTAACGTCCTACTGTTCTGCTCCTAAACTGGGCTAATGAAGACGGGTATACGCCATACAGTGTGCTATGAGGGAAATTTTGCCCGGGCAGCGTCATACATATAATGAGGTCTCAATATAATTTTAAGATGAAGAAGGGTGTGGTACTTTCTAGTACCCCAAAAGGTCTCAATATACCACAAGTGGTGTCACCGTTTCTAGCACCCCAAAAAGGTTTCAATATACCACGAGATGTGTCATAGTTTCTAGCACCCCAAAAAGGTTTCAAAATACCAGACGACGTGTTATAGTTTCTAGCATCCCAAAAAGGTTTCAATATACCAGAAGATGTGTGGTAGTTTCTGACATCCCAAAATGGTCTCAGTATACCCCAAAAAGGTCTCAATTTACCCCAAAAACGTCTCTAGAACCCCCAAAATGGTCTCAATATACCAGAAGATGTGTCATAGTTTCTGACATTTACCAGAAGATGGTCCGAATATATAGTCATTTCCAGATAGTGACCAGTTTTTTAATATCGTCCATTTTATTATGCCTTTTTATAAAAGAATATATAGATAATCTCAAATGAGTCTTTTTTGATATCATTACGGCGTAGTGATACATCAGTTTTTGACAGCAATTCAACCATTGCAAAGTCCTTTATATTAACCCAATGTTTTCACCAAGGTCAATTAAAGGCTCAATACCACTCTTGTTGTAACTGAATAATATGCCCCAATCTTTATTCTGGTCAACAAATTGTACTATACAATATTCCAATTAATTGATGATACAAATTTCATCTTAACACACATAATTTAAAAAATTGGAAAAATTCAACTAAATGATTGAAAAGCTTGACGTAGAGCTTTTCAAATGTGACTTGGATTTAAAAATATTTTTGAATCCTCTGGACAAGTAAAATAGGATTTAATGGATAATTTACACAACAGGTAGGACACTAACACATCTAGTACTTAGAATAAGGCTATTTTTTATTTTCTGGAGCTGTCAAGCCAGCAAGAGTGTTATTGTCCCTTTAAACAAAAATAATTCATTTTTAATAACAAAATAAAAAAAGAAGTTACTTTTAATAAAAAATGAACTATTCTTTGAAAATACAAAAAAAGTAGTTCCTTTTTAACTGGCCAATCAAATTCATGTAAAGCGATATATCTCCTAAGGGGATATGGCAGTAGATTATGAAATATATCACAAAAGCGATATCTACTGTAGAATGTATTATTGGGTAATAAATATGTTTATTAACACTGTACTGAATCCATGACATGAATAATGTGAATAAATATCTTTACAAGAAAAAATGGTGATGGTGAGATTGACAAGTCGAACATATATTAAGATATTTAATAAGCTTTAGAGGTTGTTTGGGTGGGAGATATTTTAAAATATGAATTGGAGCTATTACGCCCAATCTGGTTAATATACAGATCTATATTTCGTTTCGTTTTTTTATACTTTCGATGGCTTACACTACATGAAGATCTGACAAGTTGCACTGGAAGGTAGCTTCAGAGGTCATACGAGCGCCGTTTGTCCCTATGATGTCAGACATTTGATTAACCAATCAGCGTTGATGTTTCTAGTAGGTTATCTACAGTTACGTGCACATCACGTCAAAAACCCGCTGTAACAGAACGTTCCCTTGGTTAATCCCTCACATCAACCAGAACGCAGGTTATATAACAACTCTTCCAGATCCTAGTGTAGTAAAGACCAGTAAAACGAAATTTTGAACTATAAAAAACGAAACGAAATAGGATCTGTGTTTTAATCAGATTGTATAACGCCCGAGTTACGAGTATCGTTAACGATAAATGTAGCTTTGTAAAAGTAGTAAAGACCAGTAAAAGAAATTTTGAACTATACAAAACGAAACGAAATAGGATCTGTGTTTTAATCAGATTGTACAATGTCTGAGTTACGAGTATCGTTAACGATAAATGTAGCTATGTAAAAGTATGTCTTTTGGTTGGGTTATTGACTATAGTATGAACACACACCGAGAAGGTTACCACTAATGGCCGCCATAATGTAAAAGTGTGACGCTTACATAAAACAAATGATTAATATGTCTGCAAAATGTGTAATTTTTTATCCCGCGACGCTTTTAACGAAATACATTCATGAGAGGCAAACGACGTTAGAAAGAGATTTTAAGAAATGGAAATGGAAAGGTTAATTGAAACAAATACAAAGAAGAGAGAAGAAAGAAAAAAATAAATAAAAAACAGAGATGGCCGAGAAAAGTCGTATTATTTTCCTATAATAGACTCCACGGAGAATTTTAACTTAGGTTTAACTGGCAATTTGTCAAACTCGATAGATTCATCACTGGAGGAAAGCGGGCTTTGTGGGCTCGGGGAATCACTGTCCAAAACATATGTATTTAAATCATTAACAGTCGTACCGCCAGGAATCAAACAATGAAAGGCTGATCTCCGTCTCAATAAATCGTCTGTGCTAATTGTCTTTCTGGAGTCCAGGTCAGGCTGGAATCGTTTAAACGACTGGGGTGAATTATCGGGAATCATCGGAGCACAGCCTGGTAAAACACTGTTCATGTTGATGGGGAGTCCCCAAGGAGGAATATTCACACCACAAAAACCATTAAAAGAGGTCGGATTGCCTAAAATATTTTGAGGTCCTTTGAGTCCTAACACGGGTACAGTAAATGGAAACGAGCTCATGTATTTACTCAATAAAGCTGGTTGGCATATTTGCTGCGGAGTAGCTGATGACTGTTCATGTTTCATGCTCGAGGCGAGTTGCTCAATGGCTTTCTCGAGATTTCCTCCACAGCCCTGCCAGACAAGTTCCAAAACATTAGGGTTATGGGTGGGAAAAATTCTTTGTAGAAACTCTCGTGGCGTCATGTTGCCTAACAACAACCGTGATTTGTTTGCATCTAAGTTCGTGGCATTTGAAATTTGTTCCCCGTTGGCTCGCGTTTTAACAATTTCGGCTTGCCTCTCTCGTTCTAGCATAACCATCTCAAGTTCCTTGTCGGCGAAACACCGCCGTTTTCTCATGCGTTCATTGACAAACGGTACCATATTACGTAAAGCTTCTGGAGGGGGCAATGCGTGAAGTCTGGTTCTGTAGCCTGCAAGCAAAAATAAATAGACAATTTGAATGATGGTTTCATGTATAAATGATAAGTAAATAAATATGATATAAATAAAACGATTGGTGGGTGATATGTTCATGGGGATTAAAAGGGAAATGACTGGGTAGTGAGAACTATGAGTTACAACAAACAATAGATTAACACAAACACTACCATTGATCGTATAAAGTTTATCCAGTGCTATTCGGCTCAAACAAACAGTCTGGCTTTTTATTAAATCAATTTGATCAGACTTGTTTCATATTACATGCAGTTGGTTTATAAAAAAAAGAGGAGTCGGGTGGGGTGGATGGCCGAATGGTTAACGCGTGTGCGTTGTATCATAAGGTCTGTCATTAAGTCAACTAGCGTGGTTTCGATTCTCCGGTTGAATGTGACAACCTCGTGGGTTTTCTCTGGGTCCTCTGGTTTCCCCCCACTGCTAAAGACGCCTACACGCAAGCGAATTATTGAAATAAAATAGAACCAGCTGTGCGAGGTAACCGTAGGACCTGAAGAAAACCCACCAGGTTGGATTAATATGCATTATTTCGGACACCGTTTAACTCTCGACATTAATATACATTATTTCGGACACCGTTTAACTCTCGACATTAATGTACATTATTTCGGAGAACACTGTTGCACTCTTGACATTAATATACATTATTTCGGAGGACACAGTTTCAATCTTGACATTAATGTACATTATTTCAGAGGACACCATTTCATGTTTCTCAAGCTGCTCTTATAAATATTATTTATTAGTCGGGTGTTATATCATTTCGTCCGGCGTGGTTCCCCCTTGTCGGTAGTGCAGGACGGAGGACCTGACAAGGACAGCTGTCTAGTCATTCGGGTGGGCTCGAAAACCGAAGACCCGTGTATACATTGGGGTGCACGTAAAATATCACTTGGCAGTTGGAATTCGTGGTTTCCCCTTGTCAGTGATGCAGGACGGAGGGCCTGACAAGGACAGCTGTCTTGTCGTTCGGGTATGACGAAAAAACGAGGTACCGTGTACACAATGGCGTGCACGTAAAAAATCCCTTGACAGTTGGAATTCGATATAAGAGTAGGCCACAGTGCGTTGTCCGGGCAAAATTTCCCTCATAGCACACTGTATGGCGTATGCCCGTCTTCATTCGCCCAGTTCGGAGCAGAACAGTAGATCGTTAAACCCCATTTCATTTCATTTCATTAATATCATTTGGGACTATCATGCACACAACTAGACTACAATAACAGTAAGTTGAATTGAAATCGTGTATTTTTCGTTATGCTATTTGATTATCGTTATGGAATCAAAACCTTTCTATTTGATTTATCTATGAAATATTCATAGAATGAATAGGAGATGTATGTCTTTAGAGACTATGCTTCATTTTTAGATCTAGCGTGTGAGAAATTGGATATGTCGAACACCGTTATATGGTGTGGTGATGGTTAGTGCTAATTAGTAAGGCCAGCTCAATTTTTCGTCATAAGTCACGAGATGTAAACAGGGCTAGCGCTAATCCCAATCCTAACCCTAACCCTGGACATAGCCCCAATGTTTACCCTAACCCTACTCTACAATCTCACCAACAATCACGTGCCCTAACCTTATTTACATCTCAACGATCTTGACAAAAATTGAGCCGACCTTAACAAATAGATTTAGCCGTGTGGCGATGTATCAACGAGATAGACTATAAATCGATACATTTGCCTCTGACTTAACAGATTCACAATGTGACTGATCGAGTTCTTTCCCTTGAGAGAGAAAGTTAAGTGGAAATTGTTACTGTTTTTTTATGTTTTAATAACCTGAATAAATGAATTCGTTACTTATTTAAAAAAAAATAAAACATCTCAAAGTTTAACTTTGAATACAAACTATCGCTCTAAATAATTAGTTTAAAGTAACGACAGGTGCCGTGTACGAAGCAGATTATGCTCTAGGAAACACGATAACATTTGCTCAAAGGTTGTATTTAGCACAGTACCTAACATTCTTTCGCGTATTTCGTTGGAATATACCCAGAGATATATCTGAAATATATCCAGAGATATATCTGAAACATATCCAGAGATATATCTGAAATATATCCAGAGATATATCTGAAATGTCGGTTGAACTTAATTTTGGTAATAAACGATGTCGCTTAAAAGTTGGACAAATTCGATTTTCATTAGACTTCTTCTTTCCGTTTGAAGGGGCATTTAGGGTGTTGGATGGCCGAATGGTTAGAGCGTGCGCGCTGTATCATAAGGTCTGTTGAGTCAACTTGCGTGGTTTAGATTTCCCGGTTGTACGTGACAAGGAGTAGGGTCGCTTGTCCAACCTCGTGGGTTTTCTCCGGGTTCCACGGTTTCCTCCCACTGCTAAAGACCCCTACGCGCAAGCGGATTACTGAAATAAAATTGAACCATATGTTAGTCCCGAAATAACCTAGTTTGTGTCGACCTCTCTCTCTCCCCCTCTCTCTCTCTCTCTCTATTGATAATACAGCGTGTAATAATGATAAAATAACGAACTAACCTGCTAATATTTCTCTAGATAAAGAATGCTGTTGTAAACTACGGAGATTTCTTTGTAATAATTTCCTCTGTTGTAATAAATTACTGGCATTTTTAACCTTAGCTTTAAGAGCCCCTGTCATATCCGAGGCTTGGTGTCTGAAAACAGAACAAAAAGAAAAAAATTATTAGTGTTTAAAAGAGGACAGTTAAAAACGTGTTATAAGGCAACATATTAAAATTGAAACGAAAAAAGAATTGCAAAATATTATATGGAAATCGTCTGTGGTCCGGCGATAAAGAATAGGGCAAAACAAGAAAATTGAGACGGAAAAGAACTGCAAAATATTTTATGAAAATCGTCTTTGATCGAATTCCAACTGCCAAGGGAAATTCTACATGCACGCCAATGTGTAAATGAATCTCGATAAAAAGTATGGCAAAATAATAAAACTGAAACGGAAAAGAACTGCAAAATATTTTACGGAAATCGTCAGTGGTCCACCTTCTGGGCAATGTTGTAGTGATGATATATGAACGAAATTCATAAACAACAGCTCTAAATGTACCGATAAGCCGCTGATCATAAGTTGCATTTTTCGGAAAATGTAAAATAAATCACGGCTTTGATATGTAACTGTGGTTTTTTTTGTAAATTTCATATTATTAATAAACTGTGTGTACGTCGTATATCTATAAAAAATATATAAAATAAATATATAAAATCAATTTGTTCTGTTCTAAAAATAAACACCTTTCTTATCATAATAAATAATTAGCAAGGTCTGATATATACTACGAGTTAAATCTAAAATAAAACAACTGGCGCTTTATAGCGACAAGCTAACCATTGTTGAAACACCACTTCTATAAAATTCAATAAATGTATTCCATAAAGTTTGGTGTTTAAAAGATGCCTTATGTCATACCAAACTCCAACTGTCTGTCTGCATTTAGCTCCGCTTGAGAACAGGCACTAAGCTAGTTGACCGACATTTTAAGTCTTTTAAGTATACTTTAAGAATTTCGTTAAGCATTTATTCTGCTTCGATTTAATCAAATTGAAAAAGTTTTTTCAGTCTTTGTGTGTAGGCGAGATGTAAAACGGATTAGAATCGCATTACGAAACAGTATACTAATTTTGGGTATGATGACCATTTAGGACAAACATCTATTCTAGAAATATGAAGTAGGTGGCGTTATGTAAGAGCTCAATCTGTCTATTACAGGTCTTTAATTCTAGCTTCAAATTTTATATAAATTATGACAAGCCCATAATCAGCGCCATTTAATAATTTATCGTTATACTGGATACTTGAGACTTTGTTTATTGCCATAGAAAATGGTCCTTGGCAATCGAGACTTACTTGTCAAGTTTCGGTCAAAATTAAGTAATTTACTGAAATTTTCAATATATTAATTTTTTATGATCTATTTTTGAACTATTATAGCAATACGGCCAGCTCTTTATATAAATCTTACATTTATGTTTAAAACAATTAGAGGACTTTGATGGTTGAATGGTTAGCGCGTGCGCGTTTTATCATAAGGTCTATCATTGAGTCAACTGGCGTGGTTTTAATTCCACGACTGGGTGTGACAAGAAGTAGGGTCGCCTGGTTTTCTCCGGGTCCCCCCGCGCAAGCGAATCATAAAAATAAAATTGAACCATCTCTCTCTCTCTCTCTCTCTCTCTCTCTCTCTCTTAAAACAATTAGTAAATAACAAAGTGTATATCGGTGTTGTAGTTATTTATACAGAGAGAGAGAGAATTTCATTGAGTCGAACATATTGTTTGAATAACTTGCTTATACGTAATATCAACCCCGGTAACTCGAGTCTTAAATACCAGCAGGCTACTCCGTCCATTCCAAATGCCAGCTACGAAGAGTATAGACTACATAGCAATTCCCACATTATTTTTGTTCAATTTTCCTCATAGCTTACGTGCTCATGTGAGACCTACACGTAAAGACACTGAATATGAAATATGATTTCAATTATGGATTTATTTATTTCTATATTCCCCGAGTCGGTTATATTAATGAAAATAATCGCCGCCTCTTTAGAGCAGCTGGGACATATGTCCGACGTAGAAGAGGAGTCGAGATTTGACCGCATGTACAGAATGATAAAACAAACAGACCGTCAGTGTCCTCCAGTGCAACTAGAGTGTCAGAAAAGCAAATCTACACTGGAAGAAGATTTTTTCGACTGGTCTTAATAAAGAATAGAAGGCACCGTGATAAAAACCAGCTTGTGTTATGGTGCGGCTAGGTACGTATGGAGAGCCGAGAATGTCACAATCAACATTGTTAATGCCAGACGGATGAACGTAAAGACCAACCACGCTGTCATGCTATCCTATTGTTATAGTTGTCATAAAACATTTGACCCCATCGTTTACATTTGTATAAATAACTTACGTATGGTTTAACAGACAAACAGGGTTGTGGTTGTCTTGGCGTTACTTAACAGTTCACCAATCTGGATATGTGTATCTAATTACAAAATATCAGTTATCGCCCTTGGAATACCTATAGATATTCTATAACACTTCAAGTCATATCTTTTGAATCAATGTGAATTTGTTTTAGTCAGTCAAAATACAATCTGATTAAAATGCAGGGGCCTGTTTCACGAAATTTTAATGATGATAAAATCCAAATTTTAGTAACTTGATTGGATAATATTAGATTGATTTAAGTGCTTAGCCAATCAAAATTGAAGTATCTACTAAAATTTGGATTTTATCTTTAGTTAAGATTTCGAGAAACAGGTCCCTGATCTATATTTTGTTTCCTTATTTTATGGGAGTTGGGTGTCCCAATGGTTATGGTTAGGGTCTGTCAGTGAGTCTAGTAGCGTTCTTTCGATTCCCTTACCACTGCTAAAGACCCCTACGTGATAGCGAATTTTCGAAATAAAATTGAACGATATGTTAGTCCCGAAATTACGTTAAACACATAAACGGGTTTCTGTGTCTACCCAGCCCTCGTGGGGTTATATCAGGGTCCACCACTTCTAATGACCCCAGAATTATTAAAATAATAATATATCGTATTATGTTATTCACGGAATGGCCCGATTTTATATGTGTTAAAGCCAATTTTCTACCGCCTAAAGGATTGCCGAAATCGCGTGCGCGTTATATCAAAGGTATGTTATTGAGTCAACTGGCGTAGTTTTGATTCCCCGGTTCCCCGGTTGTACGTGACAAGCAGTAGAGTCGCCTGTCCAACCTCGTGGGTTTCCTCCGGGTCCTCCGGTTTCCTCCCACTGTTAAGACCCCTAAAATTGAAATAAAATTAAACCATATGTTAGTCCCGAAATGACCCAGTTTGTGTGTGTGTGTGTGTGTGTGTGTGTCTCTCTCTCTCTCTCTCTCCCGGGCGAAAGCAATAGTTGGCATGGTCGTGTTTCCGTATAAAGAGACAGGCAGTTAACATTTAGTAGTTTATCTACCGTGTGTGAGAGCCATTGGTCGAAACACTAACATGTTTCTCCATTACATTGTACATAAGGGAGTAATCATTGTAGTACACGTATACCAAATAACATAGTAACTCAAACCAATTTATACACACACATGTATAAATATAGACTTAGAGTGTATGCAAATAGCTGGAAAACAAAACCCAATTTCGGCAAGCCACAGTGTTGCGTGTAATTTAATAAATCGTCGACAAGCTCTGGGCCCTTATTCACGAAAACTTAAACTAAGATACAATCGAAATTTTAAGAAATACTGCAATTCGATTGGCTGACCAGTAAAATCGATTTGCATATATCCAATGAAGTTGCAGTATTTCTTAAAATTTCGGTTGTAACTTAGTTTACGTTTTCGTGAATAAGGGCCCTTATTCATTAGGAGAAAATGTGGTACCCCACAAACATATAACAGTGAGAGAGAGAGAGAGAGAGAGAGAGAGAGAGAGAGAGAGAGATGGGGTTTAACGTCCACTCGGCACAAACTATGTCATTTCGGGACTAAAACATGGTTTAATTTTTTATTTCAATAATTAGTTTGCGTGTAGGGGTCTTTAGCAGTGGGAGGAAACCGGCGGGCTCGGAGAAAATTCACGAGGTTGGACATCAAACCTAGAACAAGTTGTATACATAGTACACATAGTACAATTCACAATGACAACGCCCTATAAGGGAACAAGGGGTGTCAGTATTTAAAAATGGATACAAACCTATTAGCTACTAGAAGTCACCAGAATATCTCCTCTATAAAAACTAAATGGCATATCTTTTTTTAAATCGTTCGTTTGCGCTCAGGGGTCTTTAGCAGGGGGGCGGGCGTACAGACCTTGGTTTAAAACCAACATAGTAACAGACCTTATCATTTAAAGTGAGTCTTCCAATATTTTGTATATGATAAAATTCTTCCCCCGATTTCTTAACAAAGGTAAGATTTCCCTTTAAACTACCCAAATGGATGCTGTAATTGTCATACATGAAACGCTGTTGTAGGCGGCGTTGACTACAAACGTTGTGAGAGAGAGAGAGAAATGGGGTTTAACGTCCACTCGACACAAACCAGGTCATTTCGAGACTAACATATGGTTTAATTTTATTTCAATAATTCTCTTGCGCGTAGGGATCTTTAGCAGTGGGAGGAAACCGGAGGACCCGGAGAAAACCCACGAGGTTGGACAGGCAACCCTACTCCTTGTCACGTACTACCGGGGAATGGAAATCACGCCAGTTGACTCAATGACAGGCTTTATGATACAGCGCGCACACGCTAGCCATTCGGCCATCAAACCCCCACCAAACGTTGTGAACATGACACCAACTGTAAGGAATCAGTCTATGACATTTAACAATTTTTGCTCATATCATTTATCAGTTTGCCATTCAAGAAACGTTTCTTTTTATTTATATTCAAATTTTTACAAATTCTATTCAGTATTTTGGAATGTTCATCTTTATTTTCATTAAATTTCTGTCTTATTATTGTTGTGAATAATTCATAGACTAGTCGGATCATATTTATATTCAGACCGTGCTAGTTAAATAAATAACATTCGATCAAGATAACGGTTTAAATTTTTGAAAAATTGTTTTTTTAACTCTAGTGAATTTTTGCGCGCATTCCAGGCTCTAGTAGTGAATAAAAACGTATTCCTTTATTAAAATTTATTCCTTGTAATAGATTTTGCCAAGACAGAATTTTGAAAATATGTCACGGCTATCGTATTATTCGTAGGTATATAAATCCAGCCAAAAAGAAAATGGTTTCAAGATTAAAATCAATTTCGTTTCGTTTTATTTTTGATGATGACTGTAACGTAAAATTACGAATAATTAACGAAACGAAAGTTCGGACCAATAATTTGAATTCCGTTGCATATTAACATTGAGAAAAATAAATAACCTGGTTTCAAAATTAAAATCAATTTCGTTTCGTTCTATTTTTATGATGAATGTAAAGTAAAATTACGAATAATTAAGGAAACGAAATTTCGGTCCAATAATATGAATTCCGTTGCACATTAACATTCAGAAAAATAAAGAAAAATAAATTTTAATCTAAATTTAATTATTGTCAATGGATTCCATTGCGGTGTGTAGTGTAAAATTGAGGACAATGGGCGAAACGAAATCTAATTTTGTCCAGTTGGGTGATATCGGAAGTTTCTATATATTAAAAATCTAGCCACTAGCGACCATAAAGGGTCAAAGATAACGAAAATTACAATCAGAGAGAGAGAAATGGGTTTTAACGTCCACTCGACACAAACCAGGTCATTTCGGGACTAACACATGGTTCAATTTTATTTCAGTAATTCACTTGCGCGTAGGGGTCTTTAGCAGTGAGAGGAAACCGGAGGAGGAGGAGAAAGCTCACTAGGTTGGACAGGCGACCCTACTCCTTGTCATGTACAAGCGGGGAATCGAAACCACGCCAGCTGACTCAATGACAGACCTTATTATACAACGCGCACGCACTAACCAATCTGCCACCCAACCCCCCTAAATTACAATCAACAATAACATATAAGACCGAGTAGGTTTCTGATCCAGACATTGTTTGGTAATAAGAAGAAGCGAATGGGATGGTTAAACATGGTTTTATCATGAAAACTACCCTCAAATCTCTCTTACAAAACGCATACAAACTACTTAGTTTCAACATAAACACACATTCACATACTCTTATAGCAAAACATACATACAGAGGTTATAAAACGCTAAACATATATAAACAAATGACTGAGCACCTTCATTTTAGCGCGATATTTTATCCATTTTATAGACTCCCTGACAATTTTCAGCTGGTGTGAGATATACAAACAGACATTTATAACGTATTGGGTTAATATATCAACGGATATTTAAGATTTATTAATTTGATTTGGATATAATTCATTTGTTTCCAAATATGTTGAGAATTTTTTTGTAACATTTTCTGCTAAAAGTGAAAATTCATCATAAAATGAAATTCAAAGTTTGTCATTTTTAAGGCAGAACATTTACAAGTTCACAAAACATTCTCAGACTTCGGTTAAAGGCTCAATACCACTCTTGTTGTAACTGAATATTATGTCCCAATCTTTATTCTGGTCAACAAATTGTACTATTTTACAATATTCCAATTAATTGATGATACAAATTTCATCTTAACACACCTAATTTAAAAAAATTGGAAAAATTCAACTAAATGATTTGAAAAGCCTGATGTAAAGCTTTTCAAATGTGACTTGGATTTAAAAATATTTTTGGACCCTTTGGACAAGTAAAATAGGATTTAATGGATAATTTACACAACAGGTAGGACACTAATACATCTACTACTTAGAATAAGGCTATTTTTTTATTTTCTGGAGCTGTCAAGCCAGCGAGAGTGTTATTGTCCCTTTAAGAATTTACTCGAAATTGTTCGCCATATTTTAACAAAAATTTAGCCCTTTATGAAACTTTTGTTGTTTTAATGTATCAAATAAATCAATAAGAAACTGTGTGTAAAGCTTTGTGTTTCTGGATTAAATAAATTTCGCATCAACAGTGATTGAAAGCGGAGTAAATACTTTACTGAAGTCTGAGATAGCTTCGTGAACGCGGGGCCTGGTCTTGTAATACATTTTATTAACTTAATTGTGCTAAAATTTACGTGTTTTGTCATATTTCATTGGGACTTGTAACATAGTGTCTTAAATATTAACAAAAAATATTATAACGATATTGCTTAATGATGGCTAAAAGCACAGAGCCCATAACAAAATATGGAGGTCGGGTGTTCGATCCCTGCATTGGCCGAGAAAGTGCATCCAGATTTTCCGACGTGGTTTCCCCTTGTCAGTGGTGCAGAACGGAGGGCCTGACAACGACAGCTGTCTAGTCCTTAGGATGAGACTAAAAAACCGAGGTCCCGTGTGTATATTAGAATGCACGTAAAAGATCCCCTGGCCGTTGGAATTCGATATAAGAGTAGGCGATAGTGCCGCTGCCCGGGCAAAATTTCCCTCATAGCACACTGTATGGCGTATGCCCGTCTTCATTAGCCCAGTATAGGAGCAGAACAGTAGGACGTTAAACCCCATTTCATTTCATTTCATTTCATTTCATAATAAAATACCCCCTCCACATTACACGTTATTTATCAATCCATACACTCGAATAACGACTTAGGGAGAGGTTTTTTTTACATAGTCTAAGCCTGTTCCCCCACAATCGCATTCAGAAAACCTGAATAAAAATATGGTTTAAAATAAAAAGAATAACGACTTACTGCTCATTGATGACATAAGATCAGCGAGGAGTACACAGCCTCCATTTCATAATGAACAGACAAAACAAAATGATTACGCATTCATAATATATTAAAACCCAAAATATAAGAGATTTCCTTATTGAACCCCTACTTTCGTTTAATTTTTGTTTTATAAACAATATTTTTATTCAGGATGTCTGAATGAGATTAGGGAACAGGCTTAGCCTATGTAAAAACCCTCTCCCTAGAGATTGGAGTTTAATTACACACTGTAGGTTATCAAAAGTATATGTATAGAAAAAAAACCACGATTTGAATTTACTATCTATTCCTCCTCCCCCACATTTAGCTAAACTGTTGCATCATGTAAAACCCCTCTCCCTAATATGAAGTGTAATTACAATGTACACGTTGTAGGTTATGGAAAGCATATGTATAGAAAAAAACACGATTTAAATTTACTATCCCCCCACACCCCCACTTCACATATAGCTAAACTTTTGCATCATTTGTATGGGGTTTTGATTTTAATAAATTTGTAAATGCAGGGGCAATGGACGGTAAAACTCTTGTTTTCATCACGTCTAATATTTTCTCTCAAAGGAGTTTAATTTAAATATGTTTACCTTCGTAAAGACACTTGTGCCGCCATGATCCGTTGACGTTCAACAACCAGCAAGCAATTAGAACATTGACAATCACGCCACCTACAGAACCTTTTATGTCCCTTCAAACACGAAACAACTCCATGGTTCCGACATCGAGCACATTTTGGTGTTCTCAGCAGACGTCTTGTCCCGGCACCTGATTTACTTTTCGGATCTTCGGGATCCTGGGGATTTTCACCATCAACTTTATCCGAACCTTGAATGGAAATATCGTCATCATCTTCTTCGATGTCTATATCAACGTCCAAATCATCGAGACTTTCTAAATCATCCGTGTTAGGTGACGTCATTATGACAGAATCGCTATCATCCTCGGTCATCTGAAATGAAATAATTTCCCCTTTGGATTAACCATGTAGCTTGCTTCATCCAAAGGTATTGTTGACGAAATGTTAATAGTATACGATCTATTTGATTAACTAAGATACGCAAGTGTCAGTTTAATTCCATTTGATTGTGTTTTGAAAAGCGGGTAAAATTTTACACTCGTACATAAGCCAATCTTCAAATTTAATAAATTTATCTACCCCCGCTTTATCTTCCAAAACTAAATTTTTATCGTATTGTACTCCCCCCCCACCATTAATATTCGAAATAACCGCAATCCAATATTTTTTGTCCCAAATCAAAGAGTCTTTTACTTTATTTTCTACACAGTATTTTAAATAGAAACATAATTTAAAATCAAAGTAAATAATGATGTATCATCGACCACCATACAACGATTAGAAAGTATCAACTAACTGTGTTTATGTTTGGAGAGATTTATATGGGCGTTGTCTGTTGTACTATAAACTATACTATAATTTAAGCTAAACCAACATAATGAATACAAATGATAATATATTTTAGTTAAAATGACTCGATACATATTTAGAAAATGTTTATATTATATAGTTTTGCATTTATGTTAAATCATGCCATCAACACTCTAATTTACAATAAACTAGTTGTAGAGAACTGGCAAATCTATATAAATTATTTTTGCATTTTAATTTATTATCGCAACTTTGAATTTGTGTACTTGAAAACGATAAGAGAATACTTGTCGAAACGTCGTGTTATAAGTATATAAGCCAGTGATTGTTTTCCATATATAAATTGTGTTGTGTTTTTTAACTTTCAAATGGCACTTGAGCAAGACCCGCTGGTAAGTGTAAATTTTATGTTAAATAATTTTCCAATTATTCCGAGAATACACATTATTTCCAATATATCGTATTTTTGTGGGTTCGTGGAAGTTGTAAATTTGGTGTTAAATATATTTCTAATTATTCTGAGAGTACTTTTGATTCCGATATATCGTATTGTTGGGGGAGGGGGGCATATTTTTGTATGTGTCAGAGATTGACCAATCATTATAACGACACCCCTGTTGTACGCCATTTCCACAAGTCATGGTTTAAACATTTTTGAAATAAAAATGTTGTCACAAGATTCATTGAAATAAACGGTTTATTGAAATAGGGCTAAATAATTAAGTAAATTTGAAATTAATGCGGCTTTGGAATCATTTACTTTGCCGCAAGTTCCCCAAGTGAAGTCCTCTGAAATGATTTTGTTTCCCTAGTATAAACGATACTAACCCGTAAAATAAATTTGTATTTTTTTTCTAGATAACAAGACTGTGAAATAAGTGACACGTTTCCCCAATTTGTCTTTTTATATGATGCTGATCAAATCGGCAGTTAAATAATTTAAGCTTATAATTGATTAAGTTGGTGTTACTGTAATTTACATGTATATATGCATATACATTCCCTTGATAATGGCAAAATAATCTTAGCCGAAACTTTGCTCAGAAATAAACCGTAACTGTTTCCCATAGAATTGTGTTCTGTAATATACCGATAGTACGATATATATTTTATTACCTCTTATTTTATCTACATTTATTAGTTTATTAATAAATGAACATTTTACAGCTGGTTATGAGAATAAATGAACATTTTACGGCTGGTTATGAGATTCTATTTTTGCGGAGGTGTTTGAAAAATGTGGAATGAGTGTTTCGAAATGGAATACCAGTACAAATCATCTCATTGAGAATTTGAATTATAAAAATTAATTATTTTATCTCTTATCTTACCAACATTTATTAATAAATGAACATTTTACGGTTGGTAATTAATGGGATTCTATTTTTGCGGAGGTGTTTGAGAAATGAGGAAGGAGTGTTTGGAAATGGAATACTAGAACACACACTTGAATTGAGAATTAATATACTATAAAAATAATAGAAATCTTCAGTCTTTTAAAGGCGATTCTTTGAAATTTGACTCATTATTATGGAATTTCTCAATAATAACAGAGATTTTAAACATCAGGATTTTCTAACTAAAATTATCAAGGAGATCACTTCACTCAAAGAAATCTATGAAAGTTGAGGGCGTTTACATTATGACGAGATATCGCAAAATCTCTTCAAACAATCTTAGAAAACTGGAGAGGAAAAAATATATTTCTGTATTGTTGAAGTAAACTTCAAATGGGCTAGATGACAGGTCGATGCGTGATATAGTAAATAATTTTATCTCGACTATAATGTAGACGAGAAAGCTGTTGGGTCATACGTTTTTGTTCTTTCAGATTTCTGTTATAAATGCTTTGCTGGATTTTATCAGCCTTTTATATCTCTCTATAGCTATTACATTTATATATTTTTACAATTTCCCAAAATAATGTAGGCGAAAGCTTTTGGTTAATGATTTCTTTTTTATTCTTCTTTCAGATTTCTGCTTTATCCGTTTTTTTTTTACATCGTTATAGCTATTACAGTTGTATATTCTTACCACTGCACAAAATAATAGACGAAAGCCGTTCTACACAGGGCACACACAGGAATATGAGGACATATTGTCCAGTTTATTACTGACCGACATCTCGACTAGGATGCATCAGTTTTTATCACGCCATGATGGGACATTATATGCATGTAAAAGCAATATTTAGTTAATGACAGCCAAACATTTTGTTTATTCGAAATATAGTTTTCGATGATCTAATCCAACATTTCCTCCTTAAAAAAATTCTATCTACTTGTTTACAAATTCGTTCAGGAAAAAGTGAAAATTTGGGTATTTGTAAAGGAGATGAGAAGGCTTACATTATTGTATTAACAACATTGAAATCTGATCGAAATGTTAATGGTAAAAAAAAATCTGATCTGTTTTCAAATGTGTTATATATTATAGAATGCTGAAATAATTTACTACAAGAGGCGAGATCGGTTGGGACAATGTCGTTTTATTATTATCGTTTTTGCATATTAATATTGTCCATCACAATATTTTAGTACAATGCGTTAATTTGAAAATGTATTTTCACTATTATTTGCTATTGAGTTTATTGTAAATGGACAATGCACGCAATACACAATGCGCGTACTTAAAAAACATTATTAAAGTAGATAAAGTTTATTTAAATGCGAGAAAGTAAATACGTATTTTAGTATAATGCGTTAATTTGAAAATGTATTTTCACTATTCATTTTATTGTCAATTGACAATGCAAACAATATACTCAATACACATTGCAAGTAGATGAATCGCCTAAATTTCTATGTTTGTGGTTCATAAATACATGAAAACACGTCCATTTAATAAATCAATCACTAACAGTTCTTATTCTGATTTTCATCAATAAACTATGTTTTTAGATGTTCAAATGCATCATAAAGAAATATGAATAAGCATCAAGCTTAATATTATTTGTAAGTCAGTTCCCATATATAATAAAGACCTACCTCGTCGTTCCACGCTGTGTAAGGTGACACGTTGCTCACCCCTGTATTACTCCGATTCCGGTAAAAATAAGTCACCAAAGTAAAAGTTGGTCAACTTCAAATAGAGATATTTTCCTGTCGCGATTCCAAGCAAATAATACATTAAGATGGAGCGGGGAAGTGTTTTATTTGGTTCCCAATTACTTACATGTGTTTAACTGCCACCGAGGTGGGGGCACCGATAAACCATTTCCATTGGTTCCTGAAAGACTTTGGTCACGCCCTAAATGTAGACTACATCGTTTAGATTGAGTCCACCTGCTAAGATCAAAAACCCCAAACATTAAAACCGTCTGGTGAATCGAGACCCACCTCTCGCGTGGAAATCTTCAACATTGGAGGATCGAATGTCAAAGAGGTGCAAAGTTGTTCTTTATTTTCAGAGAAGCTTCTTTGACTATCTGCTGATAATTATCAGAAATAATTTAAAGATGGACACCTCTAGACCTCCTAAGTTGTCGACAACTCTTTGATATCGATAAATTTCACTAAGCGAAAAATGATGGATAATTCAGAAATGATCGCGATAAAAATGCTGGAGAAGGCGATCGTGTGTGGTTCATTATACTACAAGTTAAATATAATATTTTAAACAGAATATCAAAGGGGGAAATCAACAGCTTTTTATTGCTTATCTACTCGACATGCTAAAAAAGATTTCAAAAGAAATTATAGTTTTATGAATGATGATATCTCTCACACAATATAAATATAATTATATAAACGTTTAAATTCAAAGATATCTCGCCCATCCACCAGCAGTCGTCATTATATTATCTTCCAGCGTTTTAAACATTTGGTTATCTTTCTTGTTAAATAAGATATGGACTGTAAATAGCACACGAAGAATGGTCATTTTATTACATTTCACAAAATATAACAATTTATTATTTTTACCTCGGGTTGGGGGGAGGGGGATTCATAATCCGAGGTTAGTTAGCGTATTGCATTTTTTTATTTTATTTCATTTCATTTCAATTCTTTCGTGGATTTATCTTTGCTTTGTAACTGTTTTTTCTTTACGGCTGCGTCCAGTTTTCAGGCGGGAAAATGTACGTTTATTGACTTCTAAAGTGTGATATTCGTAGAGTAATGTTTGTAATCCTGAAAATTTAATAAAATATTACTTTAGTTTCTGATATCATAAAATTTATTTTTTTCAAAATTGTACTAATCTCTCGGTATTGTACTCCTTCAAAATGTCTACAGATTTCTTGGTATTGTACTCCTTCAAAATGTCTACGGATTTCTGGGTATTGTACTCCTTCAAATTGTCTACGGATTTCTCGGTATTGTACTGGGGACATCTCACTGTGCCCCCTGCTATTGTTCTCATGGGGGGATTAATCAAGCAAGGGGATTATCGAATACAATGGTGTTAAAAGTATAGTCTGTTTTTTTTAAACTACTAGGTTTAAACTAATTAACAACTTTATTCACAATAAATTTCATAAAAGTAACAACAAATACATGTATCAAACATAAATCATAACCCTACTAAATGTG